TGGGCAGGACCCGAATGCCCCTGTTGGTGATGGAAGTTCCGGATGATCAAATTGGTGACGTGATGCTTGCTTGGCAGAATAGCAGGGTGCTTCGTTTGGAACGAAACAGGCGCATTCTCTAGACGACCTCCTACTCTTAATATTCCGTCAGCAACGAAGGGGTTCAAGTCGCGTATTGGGCTAGACCGTGGAACGCTCTTCTTCCGGTTCCCAGACGCTCTCTGGCCTACCACAACCAGCTCCGCTGGAAATGCGTCGTGCTGGACAGCTTTGATGATGACACTCTCTGCAGCAATAACTTCACTCACAGTCAGGGGTCCCTTGGGAATGCTGTCTGGATCCTTGCTAAGGAGGCCAACCAAATACTTCTTGAAACGTACTAACCAGGCTATGGCATTTCTAAGACGGTCCCACGATGAGAAGCGGGACAGCAGCGGTTCCAAAATTTTACCACGGACGATGACATTCGCACGACCAGGGCATTTCCTACATTCAGTGTCATCCAGAGGCAATTCCGACAGCTGGGACGGTTGTTCGGGCCACTTTTCCTCTTCCATCCACAGAAACTTCGGGCCGTTGAGCCATCGCTCCAACTTGTGTAATTCGGAGCCTTTCGCGCCTCTGGATGCGATGTCAGCAGGATTGGCACAAGTGTCGACATGTCGCCATTGATGCGGTAAGGATTCATCATGTATCATCGCGACTCTGTTGGCCACTAAGGTGTGAAATCTTCTTGATTCGTTGCGAATGTACTGCAAAACTACGGTAGAATCCGTCCAGTAGATTGTGTCGTGTATGGGATACTCTAATTCGTTCCGGATCAGGCAATTCAAGTTCACCGCTACCACTGCGGCTGCCAACTCAAGACGTGGTATGGACACTGTTTTAAGAGGGGTGACGCGAGATTTCCCAAGGACAAAGGAACAGTGTGGAACACCCTTGTCGTCGACAAACCGGAGATATGATACTGCTCCGTAACCATATTCGGAAGCATCTGAGAAATGATGCAATTGGACGTTGACGACTGCACCGAATCCTGGCGGCTTGAAACACCTGGGCACAGATATTGACCTCAAAACTGCTAGTTCCTTCAGCCAACTTTGCCATACAATAGAATCTGCATCGGAAATCTCCTCGTCCCAGCCATACTTCTGCTTGCATAGGTTCTGCAACAGACTCTTGGCTGGCAGAACAATAGGCGCGACGAACCCGAGGGGATCGTACATGGAGCTTACAACTGACAAGATTCCTCTACGTGTGGGCGCCTTTCCTTCGTCCATTATTCGGAAATTAAAGGTGTCCGTCTCCATAGCCCACTGCACCCCCAAAGTGCGTTCTACAGGGAGGTCCTCCAAATCCAAGTTGACCACACAGGGAGCCCTCTCCGTTACTGGAACAGTGGCGATTACATTCCTGTCGTTACTAATCCATTTGGTAAGCCGGAACCCTCCTCTTGACAACAATTCGCGTAGCTGACCAGACAAGCGTGCCGCTTTGTCAGTCGTAGGCACAGACTTAAGGCAGTCGTCTACATAAAAATTCCGGTTGAGGGTCTTAATGGTTTCCACATCAAATTCGCTCTGATTATCCGAGGCCGTCTTCTTCAGGCAAAAACTTGCGCAACTTGGAGACGACTTGGCTCCGAACAAGTGCACTAACATCTGGTAATCGACTGGCTCTTTGGAGAGATCATTGTTTGGCCACCATAAGAATCTTAAAGCATGACAATCATCGGGCGCAACCCGCACTTGGTGAAACATGCCTTCCACATCCGCGACCATGGCTACAGGCTCTTGGCGAAAACGTATGATGACACCCAGGAGTCCGTTCGTTAGGTCTGGACCTTGAAGAAGTTGATCATTCAGGGAAGTGCCTTTAAACTTGGCAGCACAGTCAAACACGACTCTCACCTTCCCTGGTTTCTGAGGGTGAAACACTGGGTGGTGGGGTAAATACCAAACTGGTAGGCACTTCACAGCCATTTCTTCGTTACAAGGAACTCGTCTTGCGTAGCCGCTGGAGACATAACCGCTAATAGTGTCCTTGTATTGCTCGAAGAGGCGAGGGTGACGCTGAAATCTTTTCTGCAAGTATCTCAATCTTCCTAATGCATATTCACGATTGTTCGGGAGGTTTACTAGCTTGCACTTCCATGGCAACCCCAACTGGTAGTGGCCATTCACGAGCTTCACCGAATTTTCCATTTGCGACAGTGCTCTTTTATCTTCGACCGACATTGCAACCTTAGAAGAGATCATAGACTCGTTAAAGCCACTCCTAAACATGCTCTCCATTTGTTGATGAAGCGTTTCGTCGTCATGGCGGACAACGTTCACACTAAAGCAATCTCTATCACACGAGCTCAATGGTCCCATTAATGTCCATCCAAGCGGGGTACACACAGCATAAGGTTGACCACGCCTGCCACGCCTTTGATCGCACACCCAATGAGCTTCCGGAACATCGCTGCCAATGAGGACCGACACCTCATCAGATTGTGCTCTCGGGAAGACTATTCCTTTCAGATGAGGCCACCCAGCAGTATCTTCTTTTGTTGGTGGACTACCCTGAGGTAAACACAACGTATCCGCTGTCCAGACTCTATCTAATACGATTTCTTCCTGCATTTGCAATCCTCGGACAGACAAAGACAACTCGAATCCCTTTGGAGTGTTGGATGCGCCATTTACGGTTGCTAATGAGAATTCCTTAGGACGGCCAATAACTTGAAGTTTCTCCATCAGACTCATATCGCATAACGTAACGTCCGAGCCAGGATCCAGAAGCGCATTTGTCACAACTGCGTTATCCTGATCCTTCCCTTTCACGACGACTGGAACAATTCTTAAACGAACGGTTTTCTTACCAGACTCTGTCTTGCTACAACGACCTGACTCCCCGGCCCCGGCGACGATACTGGTACCATTCCTTTCCCTAGTATCAGTAGGTTCGTGCTGCAAGGGGGTGCAGCCATCAGTGTCATTGTTGTTTTTCCTTCGAACTAGATGCAGCATCGTGTGGTGTTTCCATCCACAACCATTTACTTGACATTTCATTCTGCTTCTACAGTCACTGGCCATATGACCGCTTCCAAAACAATTGTCGCACAGCCTAGCTCGTCTAACAAAGCTTTTCCGTTCTTCGGGGCTCTTTGCTCTCATTAGCTCGCACTTAGCAAGTCTGTGCTGACCAGAACACATGGGACAATTCAAAACAGGAGGAATTATGTTCGGCACGGGTCCATCGTCGGCTCCGGTTTGCGTCGTATAAGTTTTTCCTCTGACTCGATCAGCGGTTTTTCCTCTGGGCGATTGCCTAGTGCTCCGCTCTCTGTCTGGTGCTGATCCAACTATCTCTCCATACATCGTGTTAGCCAGCATAGCCTTCCCTTCAACGAACTTCGCCAAATGGGAGAAAGTAGGCTCAATTCCCGACAAAGTCAAGTTACCGGCTTCGTCAGCCCATTTAGACTGTAAGTGCACTGGTAGGCGCTTCACGATCTTCACCAGCTTGTCGGAGCTATTTATGTCAGCTTCGTAACCCATCTGGATAAGTGTTAACGCACAATTTTGCATCTGAACGGACAAATCTGATAGACCAACAATATCTGTACGTTTTATCTGAGGGCCATTTACTATCTTCTCTATGTGTGCATGCGCAATGACGTGTTTTTGACCAAATCTACGGTGCAAGATGTCCTTGGCATTTTCGTAACCATGTTCAGGTGGGAAGACTATAGAGCAATCTTTGATGGCTTCTTTAGCGTTTCCTGTCCACTGCTCGATGAGGTACGTGAGTATTGACTCGGCATCTGGAACCCTTTTGGCAATATTGACCTCGAAGTTTTTGATGAACAACCAGTAATTCAGAGGATTGCCATCGAAAGTGAGAAGCTCTCTTTTGGGCATTTGAAGTGCTTGCTGGAGGGAGTAAGCCATTAGATGCAGAGCTTCCTGTTGCTGCCCCAATACTTGTTGTAACCGTTGTGAAACAATGGGATCCTCACCACTAACAGCAACCCGAGTAGGGACTGGGTTCCACGGTTCGGCGGTTGGATTCAGCTCAGATTTTGAATAAGTTCTCCCTACTTGATTCCGTTTGCCGTTTGGAAGAGTTGGGTTTGTGGCGGAAAGATTGGGGTCATGCGCTTCCCTTGTGTGAGATGGTTTTTTCTCTTCTTTCGATGCAGACTTTGAGTACTCTGAGCCTTCATAAAATTCGCCTATCACCTTGGCCTTCTCTATTTCTTCTTCAATCTTTGATAAGGCGATGCGACGTTTCAGTTGATCCTCTTGAATTTTCAGCTCAGCAATTTGACGTTCCATTTTTCGTTCCATTTCTTGACGCTTCAACAAGTTCCGAAGCTCTACTTCTCGCCGAAGTAATTCAGCCTTTGCCTTTCTCGACCTTTCACTTACCCGTGAACTAGCTCTCGAACTTTTGGACTTTGCGCTTCCAGAATCAACACGTGAAAGCGTAGCGTAACGTTCCAAAACGTCGACATTTTCTTCTCTTCGCGAGGACATTAACATTTCATTTGGAGACCTTTCAGCCGTCTGTAACCACTCTTCAAGACGTTCGTCGAACTCTTTTCTGCCGATCATTACGCTGTAGTAATCGTTAAGCGCTTCTGCCCTCGTTTCGGGTTCCACAGCGAGTTGNGTGAAGGTCTGTTTCACTTTCAAAACAGGATGATGTTTCGCTGAGAGATGGTCTAAGAGTATATCTTACCACCTTCCAAAGGTATTTCCTCTCGTTTAATCTTTGATATTTCAAATTAACCCATCATGCCCAAGTCAGTATAACTTCAAGCTAGTTATTCTAATATAGCGGTTTAGATCCCTAATCGAGACAACATATCATGCATGTGAGACCATCCATTGCGAAAAAAAAAACCTTACAGTTTATTGTCTTCGGATTTTGGAACTTGCCTTTCCATGTTAAAACAAAGTCTTAAAAAGTGGTTCGGTATGGTTGGCAAAAAATATATTCATTCGGATAAAATTACGTGGTAGGCTGAGGCCTTATCGCTCAGTTTAAACATGACGACGAAAGGGCAGATTGAAGGGTCCACTGATGTTGCGTTAGTTTTTGTCTTCTATGGGAGGCGAAGCCACATAGTTCGTCGAATGAGTGAATGACTGATGGTAACAAAAGAATTCTGATCTTGACCAAATTCTTACTCACCCCTGTAATATAGAGGTTTCGCTTCCTATTATATATGAGGCAGTAACCGCAAAAGGAGAAGCGTTACGCATCCTAAGAATACATCCGACGCGCTCCGCGTTTCATAAAAACGTACAGACTATCAAAATTATGCTTAAAGAAGGAAATAGAGGATATCTGCCGAATTTCTGGAAATTTTACGAATTAAGATGGTATAGAAAACGGCGGACTGAGTGCGGAAAAAAAGGAAAGTATAAGAAAGGTCTTAGAGTGTCGCGTCAACAATTGCATAAGACAACAAAAGGTGACAGCAATCCCATAGTTCCATTACAAGTCAATAAAGAAAATTTAACCGAAAAAATTCTGCTGTTGAAGTGAACACTTCAATGATATTAAGTGAATACTTCTTCCGAAGCGGAATCTTTTCTGAGGATAAAATCAGACTCTCGTTCCAAGGGTGGAGTGTCACCATAATTATATGCAGTCTCAGAATGTCTAGATATCAGCAAGAGGTCACAATGAAAACAACAGCGCAGGGCAAAGACCGTGTACCTGGCACAAGCACAGATAAGACTGTCAAAACAAACCTTTGTGCGGCTAATTTTAGCCTCCCACGCAAGTGATTTTAGGGGACCGCGTTTCAATTTCGCGTTTGTGGAGAGAAGTGAAACGCAATCTCCTAAAAACGGCTGCTTAGGAGGCTGGACTTATTTGGACGAAGATCATTTCTCGTCAA